GCTGCTGCTGCTTCGGCTGCTGCTGCTTCTGCTTCTGCTGCTGCTTCTGCTGTTGCTGCCACTGCTTCTGCTCTTGCTGCTCCTGCTTCTGCTGCTGCTGCCTCTGCTGCTTCTGCTGCTGCTGCCTCTGCTGCTTCTGCTGCCGCTGCTGCTTCTGCTGCTGCTGCCTCTGCTGCTGCTGCTGCTGCTGCTGCATATGTTACCTGGCCCTTTCTTTTTGTGTTTTGTCTCCGTGAAGTGCTGCTGCTTTGATGCCTCCATATCGAAGTTCTCGAGCGAGTTGTTCAGTTAGTCGTTTTGTTTGGCAGAAGACGATTGACTTTTGCTGCTGCTGCTGCTGCTGCTGCAGCAGCTCTAAACAGCGCGTATGCAGAGAGCGAGAAGGAATCACCTCAACCACCTAACAGCACATACACATCCACATCAACTGCTGCTGCTTCTCCTGCTGCTGCTGCTGATTATCCTGCTGCTGCTGTTGCTGCTGCTTGCAATCCTGGTTTGTTGCTGTGCTGCTGGTATATTGTATGTCGGTGCAGAGAGAGAGAGACGAAGACAAAATAAAAAAGAAGCAAGAGACAAAACAAAAAACAAACAAACAAACAAACACACAAATACACAAACAAACAAATAAACAAACAAATAAATAAATGAACAAGAGGATAAACAGAAGGAGACAACAAAAAATTTACCTGCTTTATGTTTGGATTAGCCCGGAGATCGCCGCCACCAATTTGCACTTTAATAAAATCTTCACGACAAAAATCACGAGCCAATGCCTGCACCTGCAGCAGCAGCAGCAGCAGCAGCAAGAGAAGCAGCAGCAGCAAGAGAGGCAGCAGCAGCAATAGGAGAAGCAGCAGCAGGAGCAGCAGCAGCAATAGGAGAGGCAGCAGCAGCAATAGGAGAGGCATCAGCAGCAAGAGGAGAGGCAGCAGCAACAGCAGCAACAAGAGAAGATGTAGGGATGAGGGTCATCTGTGCATATACACCTCAATATTATCATTAAATCTACCTTTTGAGCTGCATATACACCTCAATATTTGCCTCACTTCATTTGGCCAAGTGGCAGACCAAAGGACAAGTTGGCGGTCAGGCCGAATTTGACTTAAGACTTTGCGAATCTATAAAAATAAATAAATAAATAAATATAAATAAATAAATAAATAAATATAAGTAAATAAATATATATAAAATAAATATAAATAAATAAATATAAATAAATATATATAAACAAATAAATACAGGTAAATAAATAAACAAATAGATAAATAAATAAAATACACAAAAAACATAAATAAAAAACACATCAACAAATATATATATATATATAAATATATAAACAAATAAATAAATAAACATAAATAAAGAAACACATGTTGATAAATAAATAAATAAATAAATGCATAAATAAATGCAAGGGATAAAACAAATAAGCAAATATATAAATGCATGCAAATAAACGAAATAGGTAAACAAATAAATAAATAAATAAATAAATAAATAAATAAATAAATAAATAAATATGCATATAAATTAATATATAGAAATAGAAATATATGAATAAATAAATGGGTAGACGAAAAAATACAAAAAATTTGAACAAATAAATTATCGCAAATAAACGCGAAAATAAATCAAAGTATAAATAAATGAGAGACAAATAAATAAATATAATTAAATAAATAAATAATAATAAACAAAAGAACAAAAACAAATAATAAATAAACAGCAAGCAAACAAATAATCAGCAAATAAATAAATAAATAAATAATTTGGCGATTGAACAAACAAATGAACAGCAACAAGCAAGGGGTGCGTTTCATCTAAAAAAAGACGTAGCAGCAGCAACAGCAGCAGCACGAGCAGCAGCAGCAGCAATAGCATGAACAGAAGCAGCAGCATACAACCTGAGGAACATTAGCAGCAGTATGCAACAACAGTAGCAGCAGCAGCATAAATAGCAGCAGCAGCGGCGGCAGGAGTACCAGCAGCACCACCAGCAGCAGCATGAGTAGCAGCAGCAGCAGCAGCAGCAGACCTGCGGTTCGAACCCCATATCCATCATTCTGTCTGCTTCATCGAGTACAACAAAAGAGACGTTTGACAAATCAGCAGCAGACGCATCCAGCAGATCTAACAGTCTGTACACCCCACAGAAGCAACAGCAGCAGCAGCAGTATCAGCAGCAGCAGCAGCAGTATCAGCAGCAGCAGCAGCTGCTTCTGCTGTCTCTCTGAGAGTCGCATGCACACTGAAGTGTTGTTAAATCGTGTGTCTTTGTTTTGCTACGTGCATTTCTGTCGTCTCTTTCTTTTTATTTAATTTAGTCTTTCTCTTATTCAGCAGCAGCAGCAGCAACAGCAGCAGCAACAGCAGCAGCAAAGCAGCAGCAACAGCAGCAGCAACACCAACAGCAGCAGCATGCACCTTCCAGGTGTACAGACAGCGATGTCACATCCAGCGCGCAGCAGCAAAATTTGCTGCTGCCGCGAAGCCCCTCCATAAACAGCAACGCTGCGGGCGAGAGCAGCACCTGCTGGTTTTGCTGTTGGTGCTGCTGCTGTTCCTGTTGCCGCCGCTGCTGCTGCTGCTGCTGCTGTTGCTGTTGCTTTGAGAATACGCTGGCACTCGGAGTGTATCTGCAGCACAAGCTCCCTTGTGGGTCCGAGAATAAGAACAGTGGGTGCAGTCCCGCTGCTGCTGCTGCTGCTGCTGCTGCTGCTGCTTCCTCCATTCTGCTGCTGCTGCTGCTGCTGCTGCTGCTGCTTGAGGAGGTGCATGATAGCAGGTATAAGAAAACCTATTGTCTTGCCGCTGCCTGTCTGGGCTATAGCAATTAGATCTCTGCCTGAGAAGCAGCAGGGCCACCCAATTTGCTGCACGGGGAACAAAGAAGTGAAAGACAAATCTCTTAACGCTTGCTGCAGCAAAGGAGACAGATTTGCTGCTGCTATGCACGGCAGCAAAGCCGGTAGAGGCTCCCGGCCCTCCAACTTTATTCCTAACCGTTCCAGCGAATCTGGTGCTGCTGCTGCTGCTGCTGATGCTGCAGTAGCAGCAGCAGCACCGCCTTCTCCGGATGTTGTTGAGCCTCCACCTGCTGCTGCTGCTGCTGCTGTTGCTGCTGCTGCTGCTGCTGGTGCAGCAACAGGGTGAATCGGAGGGAGATTCATTTGGCTCCAATTTACAGGCCGTAAGCTGGCGCCTGCGCCTCCAGCTGCTGCTGTTGCTGCAGAAGGACGCCATTGCTGCTGCTGCTGCTGCTGCTGCTGCTGTGGAGGAGGAGGAGACAGCGGTTCGGAGGGTGAGCCGTACCAAGGGTCATCTGCAGGCAGAAAGGCGTCATAGCCTTGCTGCTGCTGCTGTTGCGCCTGCTGCTGCAGTTGCCGCTGCAGTTGCTGCTGCTGCTGCCAGTCCTGCTGCTGTTGCTGATGCTGTTGCTGCTGCTGAAACTTTCCTTCCGTAGAACCCCTGGGCCCCCTCGGCGAGGGCTGAGCTCTTGCTGCTTCTGCTGTTGCTGCTGCTGCTGCTGCTGCGCTGGATGAGGACAGCAGCCGGCGGGAAGGCGTGGCTGCAAGTTTTGCTGCTGCTGCTGCCGCTGCTGCTGCTGCTGGCCGAAGCCGCACTAGAGAGCTGCGCAGCAGCACCTGAGATAACCCTATGCGGTGCATGCTGTCTTGCTGCTGCTGCGGTTGTGGTTGTTGTTGCTGCTGCTGCTGCCGCTTGCTGGGCAAAGGGTTATCTCCTGTCGATACTGTTGCTGCTGCTGCTGCTACGAGAGCAGCAAAGGGCTGAGAAGGCCAGTGCAGCTGCAGTTGCTGCTGCTGCTGCTGCAGCTTCTGTGCCCAATGTTATCGCTTTTGCTGAGGCACTTGTGCTGCTGCTGCTGCTGCTGCTGCTGCTGCTGCAGCTACTATGCTTACGGCCCTGGGCCCAGAAGGCTGCCACAGGGCATCAACTCTGAGGTGTATAGACACCTCAATAATTAATTCTTCTCCTTCTCTTTTTCAGTAATACAGAAGTTTCAGTCAAGGAAGGCCGTTGCTGCTGCTTGCTGCTTCTATTGTGGGGCCCGGCAGCAACAACAGTAGCAGCAGCAGCAGCAGCTGCTGCTGCAGCAGTTCCTGTTGCTGCTGGTGTTATAATGTATGGGTAGCCAACGCTGCAGATGATACCGCGAAGAGCAGAAGAAAATGTGTTTACATGCGAATAAAACGTTTTGAGTTTGTTGTTGCTGCTGCTGCACTACCTGCTGCTGCTGCTGCTGCTGCTGTCGACTGGACCTCACGGCTGTCGAGTGCTGCCGATTCCAGCAGCAGCAGCAGCAGCAGCAGTAGGGAGAGCGGCAGCAGCAAGAGCAGCACAAACAAGAGCAGCAGCAGGGTTTGATTAGGCAAAGACACGAATATTATTCACCCTTGTTACCCACTGCTGCTGCTGCTACTGCTGCTACTGCTGCTGCTGCTGCTGCTGCTGCAGGCTGCGTAAATGTGAACTCCACTGCAGCAGCAGCAAGGCAGCAACTGCTGCAGCAGTTGCTGCTGCAGTAGAGCGCCCATACATGCAGCAGCAGAGCACTAAAATGAGGCAGCAGTCGCCTCTGCAGCAGCAGCAGCAACAGCAGCGCCTGCAGCAGCAGCGGCGGTTGCGCCACCTCGTTGCCGTGCTACTTGTGCTGCTGCTGCTGCTGCTGTCAAGGCACCAGCAGCAGCAGCAGCAGCAACTCCTGTTGCTGTCTTGCGCTGCACACACCGTGATTCCTACACAGCAAACCCCCCGCCTCTCTTTTGTTGCTGTTCCTTGGCTGCAGCAACAGCAGCAACATCAGCTGCTGCTGCAGCAGCAGCAGCAGCAGCACTGGCGTGCATTTGCAGCAACACAACGACAGCCACACAGGGACCCTCACATAGGACAGCCACCCCCATCAGCATCAGCAACAACAGCAACAGCAACTGCAGCAGCAGCAACTGCAGCAGCAGAAGCAGCAGCAGCAGATGGTGTTGGTGGCCCATTATACTTGTCAAATTTGCCCCCAGGGCATTTCAAAGGGAAGCGCCTTCTTGCCGGCCTTCAGGTAACATGTGCTGCCGTTGCTGCTGCTGCTGCTGCTGCTGCTGCTACTGCTGCAGCAGTTGCGCTGAATGCGTCTTGTGCTCATCTTTACTGATGCTGCGGCCGCTGCTGCTCTTGCTGCTGATGCTGTCGTTTGTGTCTGCAGCCTTCCGGTTCGCTGCATATAGGGCACCTGCTGTCGACTCTGTTGCCGCTGCAGCAGCAGCAGCAGCAAGGGGCTCTGACGCGGCTGCTGCTGTGCGACACGCACGCGCTGTACACCCGCGAAGGGCGTCCCTACAGCAGCAGGAGCAGCAGCAGCAGCAGCAACGATATTAGCAGCAGCTCCATTGAGGCTCTAGCGCTCGCGATGGCCTGCGGTATCCGCCCCTTGAGTCTTGTACAGAAGGAAAGGCAGCAGCAGCAGCAGCAGCAACAGCAGCAGCAGCAGCAGCAGGGTGGCACATTGGTGCTGCTGCAGAGCTTAGCCCCTTCTCACGCGCAGCTGGCGGCCTGGCTTCAGAGTATTGTGCCTCTAAGTGCGTTGTTATTATTTATGTGTTTGTTTGTTTCTTTCATTTGTTTATTTTTATCTTTTGTTTGTTTGTTTGTCGCTTTTACTTGTTTGTTTATTTGTCTCTGTTCTGTGTTTCATCTGTTTGTTTTATTTATTATTTTTCTTGTCTTTGTTTGTCTTTTGTTCGTCTCTCTTTGTCTGTCTACATTTTTATATCTTTCTCCTCTGTATTTATATATTTATATACTTATATATTCATCTACTTATATATTTATATGTAAGTATAATTATATATTTATATGTTTATGTATTTATATATGTATTTATACAATTATATGTTTATATGTTTATTGTATGCCCGCGGCTCTTCGCCTCTACTGCAGATTCAGCAGCAATTCATTTTGCCTGCTGCTGTTGCTGCTACTGTTGCTGCTATTGTTATCGCTGCTGCTGCTGCTGCTGCTTCTGCTACTGCTGCTGCTGCTGCTGCTGCCTTTGCTATTATTGTTGTGACTGATGCTTCTGCTTGTGCCGCATGTGCTGCTTCTGCTGCTGCTGCTGTTGCTGTTGTTGTTGCTGCTGCTGCTGCTGCTGCTGTTGCAGATTGGGTGATGCGCTGCAGTGCTGCGCGCGAGGCATTTGAAGCCCCCGGCTTTAATTCGTCGGTTGGCAGTTTCTTATATCCTCTTCAAGTCAGAGAGAAGTCATTACTATTTTTTTGTTGTTTTATTTGTTTTTGTTCTCCAGTTGTCTTTGTTATTACTCTTCGTTCGTTGTTTTTTATTTCTTTCTTTGTTTGTTTGTTTAATTCTTCTGTCTTCTCGTTTTTATTTGGGTTGTTGTCTCTGTTGTCTTTGCTTTTTTCGTCTTTATTTTATTTTTGCTGTCTTTGTTTTTTTTGTTTTAATTCTTGTTCTTGTTGTTGTTTGTTGTTGTTGTTGTTGTTGTTGTTGTTGTTGTTGTTGTTGTTGTTGTTGTTGTTGTTGTTGTCGTTGTTCTGTTATTATTTTTGTTTGCTTCCTTTTTATAATTGTTGTTTTTGTTTGTTTTCTGATTCTTGTTCGTGTTTTCATCTCTGGTTTATTCTGCTGCTGCTGCTGCTGCTGCTGCTGTTACAGCAACAGCCCCTGCTGCTGCTGTTTTTGCATCTGATGCACCAGCAGCAGCAGCAGCAACTAAGCAATGCTCGCACTTGCTGGTGCTGCTGCTGGCGTAGCTGCTGCTGCACAGCAGCAGCTGCTGCTGCTGTTGTCTTTGC